TGTCTGTCTGTCTCTCAGTGGACCGTATCGTGGGTCTGGATAAGGTGGCCGGCATGTCGGAGCTGCCGGGTGCATTTAAGACCCGTAAGGGAATGTTCCGGACGGTCGGGCAGCTCTATAAAGAGCAGCTGTCCAAACTTATGGCCACGCTCAGAAACACCAACCCCAACTTCGTCCGCTGCATCATTCCCAACCACGAGAAAAAGGTACCAACTGCTGGGCATTCAGGAATAGTTTGTGTTTATTAAAAATAACTACATTAGCGTCCACACCAAGAACGACAGCAGTTAAGATTGCTATGACAATAACTATATTAGCATTTACGTCAAGAAAAATAACTAAGTTAGCATCCACACCAAGAATGATAGCTATAAATATGGTTATAACAAAAAGTATATTAGCATCTACACAAAAAGCGATAACTGTAAAGATAGCTATAGCAATAACTACAGTAGAATTCAAACTAAGGACAGTAATTATGAAGAGAGCTGTAATGATAAATATTCATACCAAGAATTATAACTAAAGATTGCTATAATGATAACTATATCAACATTCACACCAAAGCACGAAAACTGTAAAGATAGCTATAACAATAACTATTACCTTCCACACCAAATATGATAACTATAAAATAGCTTTAATGATAACTATATTAGCATTCACACCAAAAACGATAACTATAAAGATTGTTGTAACGATAACTACATTAGCATTCAAACCAAAGCACGAAAACTATAAAGAGAGCTATAACGATAACTAAATTATCGTTCACACAAGAGCAATAACTATAAAGATAGCTATAGCAATAACTAAAGTCGCACTCACACCTAGAACAGTAACCATAAAAATAGCTTTAATGATAACTATTAGCATTCACACCAAGAATGATAACAACAAAGGTCGCTATAACGTTATAGCGACTACATATCGCTATAACAATATATAGCATTCACATCAATGTACAATAACTATAAAGATAACGATAACTATATTCACATTCACACCAATAATGATAACTATATTAGCGTTAACACCAAACACGATAACTATAAATATAGCTATGACAAAAACTATTAGTGTCCACACCAACTGCGATATCTATAAAGAT